CCTTTAAGATCTGGAAGATTATGTCTTTTGAATTAGAAAGAGAGATTGCTAATAGAAAGCGCAGGAGCCACGGTGGTGTAGTGGTTACTTGGTGGGTGCTAACTGCAAGGTCAGGTCAAAACCACCAGCCGCTCCAAGGGAGGAAGACGGGGCTTTCTACTCTTGTAAAGAGGTACGGTCTCAGAAACTCACTGGGGTAGCTTGACCCTGTCCCATAAGGTCGCTGTGAGTTGGCATCAACTTGAAAGCAGTGAGTTTGTTTGAGTTTGAATAGAAAGCACTACTTAAATGATTATAAACCTGAAAATCCCATTTTTTAAACCAAAAGGGAAGCTCAAATTCAAGTTGGCAACCATGACAGGACAGGGAGAAAGGCAGCCTGGAAACCTGCAACACCAAACCAGGTTAAAGACCCAGCTACTGGCTCACATCTCTTGAAACTCCTTTATTGTAGCATCCAAACCTCTCCCGCCCCCCACTGGCCCTGCACCCCTCCTTAGCTTCCATTTGATGTGGGGGGAAGGAGAGTATTCAACAATTTACAAATCCAAAAGGATCAACTTTGAATTGGTTCCAAGCATGTCAGGAGGTGGCTTCGATTCTTAGGGACCTTAGGAATAAATACTTCACCAACCACGGCAATGCAGATCTGAAAGAACAGCAAGAAGAGCCGGGTCTCCCTCCCTATCAGGCGCCAAGGTATTAGGAAGGAGGTGTGTTTGGGGTTTTGTACCATGGTTGCTATTTTCATCTCTACAGAATCGGTTAACTTGCTCAATTAAAAAAATACACTCTTAGGAGCTGACCTTCGTTGACTTTCTGAGGATGCCATCCGGTGGTCCAGCCCAGGGAAAACGTCACATCTGGAAAGAAGGAGGTCACAGTGTCTAGAAATGGTTTTGCGTCCACCACTCTGCCACTTCCATTTGGACCAGGTAGAATATCAGCGTTGATCCACACGGGGCGCTTCAGGTACCTCTTCATGTTTCCCAAGAGCATCATGGATGGTTCTACAGCTGCCAGACTAAAAACATACTTTGTTGCCAATCACACACATGCCTACGGTGAAAGCTCTAAAGAAAGACATTCTTTTTGAGCAGTAGTTTTAATGTTCTCAAATTCATAATAAAAGTGTAATACATTTCTAATCGTCTATCGCACTGACTTGTTTACAGGTGGTGCAAAAAGGTATGCCTCCCTCTCAAAATGAAAGCATGAACAACACAGAATAGGGTAGCCAATTGTGTTTTCACTTCGGTATGTGCTGACAGCAGCACACGATGCTTCTGGTTTTGTCCCTTGGAGATTTTTCAAATTCAAAAGAAGAGGAGTTAAAAAAAAGTGTGATACCCTAACAACAGTGAGTACAGGAAAGAAGAAATTGTTCTAACGTTGATTGTGGTGATAACTGCACCATTCTTTTAACAGGATGGAACTATTGAATGGCATGATATGTGAATTACATGTCAATAAAACTATTTTTAAAGTGTTATACAGTAATGCCTGGGTTAAATAGAATCAAGCAACAGATAACTTATATCATTATCTTAACATGCCATTATCTCAAAGGATTGACTTGTATGCACTATGCATGATGGAACCTTACAAGTCCTATCAATGCCACACTACTTGTGGACACAGAGAGGTTTCCAGGCTCCCTGTTAGACAGGATGACTCAACGTAGCAACAATTTAAGAAAATTGAGAGAATATCAACAAGGCAACACATTAGAAATATTAATCACCGGCAAAGCCACACTTATGAAATGCTCAGGTGTTCCCAGGTGCCTTGCCTTTTTCAACACCTGAACACAACCCTGAGGAGAGAATCTTGTGCCCTTCGCGAATTCTTGGGTGAGTCTGGACACAGGAACAGATTTCCAAAAATGTCTGTAAAGTATGAAAATATACCATTTTCTTAAAGCTGTTATCAATTTCATTTTTCCTTTCTTTACCATGAGCACCTCTCCTAGACTGATGCACTACACAAAAAAGTGTATGGACAGCTGACAGCTCTCCACTGCCAACGACTCGGCCACCAGCAGGTGACCTACCCACTCTGTGCCTCAGGTCCCGGGCCTGGATAGCGAGGATCACAGCAATAACCGAGCCCTTAGGATTAGGACGACGGTTAGGTGAACTAAAAGGAGTGGCACGCTTAGGACAGTGCCTGGGACGAAACAGGTGTTTGTGTCACTATGGTTTTTATGAATTCCACCTCAGAAGTGCTACAATCCAACCACTTACAAACTCTTTTTTTAGGAGGCTAGGATATAGGAATGAAGGTGCTGAGTCTGACTGCAGAGGAGTCAGAAAACACATCAGAGAGAACAATCCATGGGGTAACAGTAAGCAAGGATTTGAGGATGAAGGAAGGCAGGACCTACCACTCGGAGTCACCTAGCATGGAAGAGCCAATGCTTGGTTTTAGGCAATAAGAAACAGGTGGGACCTGGCCTCTGGTTGTGGCACAGCTGTCAGACTTA